TATATATATATATATATATATATATATATATACTCTGTTTATTAATAGAGTTGCAGCCAGTGGCTGAAAATATACTAACTTACATGTGATTTAGACATAATGATATGCATTCAATATATTTACAGGGGTATACAGTACATAAATCAGGAGTTGTTTATTGATGGGATGGTGCTGTTCTTATATCTGATATCAGGGCAGGCACTTACGGGCTGAATTTTGTTGTAGTGATTCTAATCTTTTAAAATGTTAGTTTTTGTATAATGGAGTGTTACTGATATGTAATTTGTCTTAGTATGCCATATTGTGGTTAAAAATAAGTATATATTAAATGCATCCTCCAAAAGCGTGAATATGCTACCAGAGTTTAACAGTTAATTCATATATAATACTTCTGATAAACTTCCTATGTACTTATGTTTGAAATAATGAATTTATGAATCTAAATAATTTAGCTAAATATCTTTCTCGTCAGAAACGGTCATCCCAACGATTATGAATAAACTCATTTAGAAATGCATCATTCTTCAGGATGAAATCGGACAGATTTGAAACTGCCAATCAGCTGTAATTCTTGAGAAGGAGGCGGGGCATCTTTTCTCAGCTGAGAGAAAATGCATTATAGTGAAGGATCCTTGCCCTCAATATATTAACTGTAGAATTATAAAGGGAGACAGAGCTTTTTCTAAGGGTATCCAAAAGATTGAGAGCCTCCACAGATGGCAGCAAAATGACAAAGTAAGGTTTGCCTCCTCGACTAGGTGGAAATCAACAAGGATCCCTGCAAACTGTCGCCAGGCAGTCAGTATTTTACATCCGAAGCTTATGGAGATGTCCCAAACTTGAGGTCTTGATTGAGCTAATGCAGGCAGAGAAAGGGTGGCTGCCTCACAACCTCCTTCTTATACCTTCATACACTACCATTAGGTGCAGTAAGGAGGTTGCCACTGTGGACAATGTGGGTAATTCCTGCACATGGCTAAAGCGAAACTGGCGTGTTGGAGTGGCTCGTGGGGCCGATCTGTGTCCTCAACAAGAAACAGCGGAGGTGAGCTCAAGCAATATTGAATGGGGGACAGAATGCCCAGCTGATGGGCAGATGCCTGAAGATCTAAGGCAAATAGGGCTGGAGATTGACCTAGAACAAACACCCCGTAGCACACAAAAGAGTCTTGCGGAAGTACCGCGATATTTTTCTGGGCAGCAAGGGAAAATTAGGATGCACTGGAATAATCAAGCCTACCATCCCTCTCATAGATGAAACTCCTATTAGGCAGCCCTTCAGATGGGTTCCTCCCCCCCACTCAAATCCAAATGGTTAGGGACCATATCAACCAGCTGTTGGAGCAGGGGTCATACAGAAAAGCACTAGCCCATACGCAGCCTCGATTGTTCTGGTAAAGAGACGAGATATGTCACTGCGTTTGTGCGTTGTCCATAGGAAACTGAGCAAAGCCACGTGTAAGGATGCCTTTCCACTCGCAAGGATTGATTAGTCTCTTGATGCATTGGCAGGAGCAAAGTGGTTTTCAACATTGGATCTAGCATCAGATATTATCAGATAGAGATGGATTACAGGGACATCCAAAAGACTGCTTTGTCTATGCCATTCGGGCTGTTTGAGTATAAATGCATGCCGATGGGATTATGTAATGCTCCCGGAACATTTCAGCGAGTCATGGAGAGCATCTTTGGCAGTGAGATGTTTTCAACCCTGTTGGTATACCTGGATGACCTCATGATATTCTCAAAGACACTTGATGAGCACATAGAAAGGCTGGAACTGGTGCTCTCTAGGCTAAACGGACATAACTTGAAACTGAAACCATCCAAATGCAACCTGTTTCAGAGGAAGGTTGCCTATCTTGGATATGTAGTGTCACAGAAGGGAATTGAGACAGACCCTGGTAAGATTGAGGCTGTTAAGCAGTGGCAGGTTCCCACCACCATTAGGGAGTTACGTTCCTTCCTTGGGTTTGCCTCTTTTTACCGATGGTTTGTGCCTGGATTTTCAAAATTAGCTACCCCATTAACAGCCCTAACTTCAGGTGCCGCCGCCCCAAACCAGTCCATCTGCTCGAGGTGGGCCCAGGTACGTGATGATGCATTCAACCAACTAAAGGGCAAGTTAGTCATGGCACCCATTTTGATTTGTGTTGATTCTAGCAAGCCATTTTTCCTAGAGATCAATGCCAGTTTTCCGGGACCAGGAGCTGTCTTGTCACAGGAGGTAGAAGGCAGAAAACACCCTATTGCCTTTGCCAGTAGGGGCTTGAAGGGGTCAGAGAAATATGAAGAATTAAAGTAACATGAAATTGGAACTGCTAGTATTGAAGTGGGCCCTCACTGAGAAATTCAAAGACTATTTAGCAGACAGCAAGTTTACTGTCCTCACTGACAACAATCTTTTGACTTACTTGGACAAGGCAAAGCTTGGGGCAGTAGAACAGAGATGGTTGGCTGATTTAGCTCAGTTTGATTATCAGTTGGAGTATCGGGCAGGGAAGGCGAATGGGAGTGCAGATGGATTATCCAGAAAGAGCCATGAACCAGAACCTGAGGCAGATGACTTCTTCGAGAGGGTTGAAGCTATGGCCATAGATGCTCTCGAGGAGGAGAGTTCTCTTAGTGGTGAGGACAATGAGACCCCCATGCCCAGCTGAGGAAGGAGCAGATAGCCCTCAGGTGACTGGACAGTTAATGTGGCTTCCCAGCATATCTCAGGAAGGTTTGGAGCAACTACAGGCAGTTAGGAGAAATTGAATTACAGGAGTTGAGAAAGGGCCAGGAATTTAACAGCCTATAGAAACAGAGAGGGAGATTTGCAACAAATTGCTGTTTAGGCCAGACCAGAAGGAGCTAAGACGACTAGTTTTGCCTTCTACTTTGAAGGGGGAGGTAATGAAACTTTTGCATGATGAGATGGGTCATCAGGGTATCGAACGCACCACTTGGTTGATTAAGCAGAGGTGCTACTAGCCACAAATGGATCAGGACTTCTTTGAATACTGTAGGGACTGCCACCGGTGCATTGTAGCAAAAGCAGTTATCCCAGAGGTACGCATGCAGATGAAGCCTCTTACAACCAGTAGACCCTTTGACATCCTGGCAGTGGATTTTACAGTATTAGAACCATCAAGTAATGGCAGAGAAAATGTGCTGGTGGTGACAAATGTGATCTCTAAGTACACCTGGGCATTCACCACATGGGATCAGAAGGCAGCGATTGTAGCAAAGACCCTGGTTGATGAGATATATACCAAATATGATGTCCCTAGGAAAATTCGCACTGATCATGGAGCCCAATTTTAGAGTGCATTACTAAAAGACCGTTGCAAGACCGGGGGAATAAAGAAATCTAGGACTACTCCATAACATCCAGCTGGAAACGGACAGTGCGAGAAGTGTCACTGCACAATGCACCAATTGTTGCAAATACTGTCAGTCGAGCAAAAGAGGCATTGGGGAAAGCATCTAGGAATGGTAACTGCCATCTATAATAAGACTCCTAACTCGACCACTGAGTTCTCCCCTCACACTTTGATCTTCGGTACCGATCCCAAGCTTCCGATAGATATCTTGTTAGCACAAGCAGAGGGGGAGGCCTCGTGTGATGATTGGGTGGCCCTACACAGAGAAGTATTAGAGAATGCCTGAAGAGTTGCAAATGGTAATTTTGAGAATAAGTGTCAGAGTAGGAAGCTTCTGTATGATAAGAAAGCGAGAGGAAAAGCATTGGACGTTGGTCAATGTGTATTAGTGCAAAACCTTCATGGAAAGGGAATGAGTAAAATCCAGGACTACTGGTATGAGGATATATATGTGATATTCCATGTGTTGAATGAGGAGGGAAGTGTGTCTAGGATTGTTCCTGAGGAAGGAGATGGGGCCTCAAAGGTAATACACCACACGCATTTGCGGGCAGCCCCAAGGGTAGCTGATGGCTCAGGTGTGACCGATACCTATGATGGTGATGATGAGGACGATGCTGGTTGCCCGGTGGGGGACCCATGTCCTGACAGTGGTGAAAACTCTAGGAACGAGGTAGAGACACATAGTTCTAATGAGGACCTGGACCCCATAGCAGATAGTATTAGTAGCAGTAGTGAGGAAGAGTCTCAGGGTGGACTTGCAGTCCGTAGAAGTAAGAGAGATACAGCAGGAAAACACTCAAATATGTTTAGGTTTTGCCTAAATCTACAATCAAAAGTATTTTGGTGCTATAGATTTAAGTTTCACATTGTTAGTCCCTACATGGCAGGGAGTCCTCGGGTTATGAACGGGTTCTTTTGCTGAGGACGTTCTTAAGTCTGATTTGTACGTAAGTCGGAACACATGCTATATGCATACCGTACTTACAGAACAATGTTTAAAATCCCACTACAGTATATAATAGCCTAAGTCCTTATATACAGTACATCTAAAATCACTTAATTTAAGAAAAAGGAAGAAATAAAATAACAAAATACCTGTACAGTAAATGAAAGTAAAAATAAGTCATCAGGCAAATAAGATACTGTAAATTTCAAGTTTAATCCCATTTACATCAGCAGCCGTTCATAAGTTAGACAATTATAAGTCAGGAACCTCTTGTATATAGAATATTCCTTCTGGAAACTTTTGGATTTTTGGACAGCTATTTGTTAGTCAGGCAATACCTTTCACCTCATTTTCCTTTCATCCTACAGGGTGAAACATCTGACGCCCATGAAGAAGAAGAAGAATTTGAATTTAGTGAAGTGTTTATTGAGCAGGCCATCCATACCATTGAGTATGTATTGGGTACTGTATCCCACACAGCCTCATATCTTCGACTCTGGGCACTGTCTCTTGCACATGCTCAGCTCTCTGAAGTGGTGTGGAATATGGTTATGAAAATTGGACTCTCTCAGGTAATCATAATTTATGATTCTATCATCATACAAGGCATTGCTGCTGTATCAGACTCTTCATTTAGAATACAGATGTAACATAAATAATTTGGCATTTAAAGAAAACAGCTGTCTTTGAAGACTTGCTATTTTTTCATTTGAAAACCCATCCCTTATAAATCTATAATTCTCTTAGAAAACTTCATGTTATGGTGCACCAATCTAGTAACTGCCACCTTTCATTGTGTATGGGCTGTAGCTATATGCCTTATTTGTGTCTTGATATTACCCTCATCTGTCATCATAATCCAATATACAAATTAGTGATTTAAAAAGTCATGTCCTTCAGACTGAAATACAAACATTTATCACACACCATAGTGAAAAAGGTTGAACTACTTCAAAAACTTTACAAGAGAGCCTGTGTAAAGAAACTTATTGAAGAGTATAATGATAGGGCCTCAACAATTCATGATTTAAAAATAAACAATGAAAGTTCTAAAAGTTCTAAATATTGAACTTCAAAATCAAACATTACAAGCTTTTTCACATTTTTCAGTCATCAAATGTGGTTGGCAGTATAATGCTGTTCCTCATTTTTGCTGCCTGGGCCTGTCTGACTGTTAGTATCTTGATTCTCATGGAGGGCTTATCAGCATTCCTTCACACACTCCGTCTTCATTGGTAAGATTTATACATACAGGATGTGTAATAATAATAATAATAATAATAAATGGTTTATTGAAAAAGTTTGCAGCCCGAAGGCTGAAAATATACATTGGACATAAATGACTTATTACATACATTGGTGGTTTAACAAAAGCCTTCATTAGAGAAAGGTGAAGGAACATACAGTGAACATACAGATTAATGTTTACACACGTAGATCATGTTAGCTGAGGTGTTGAACAGCAGACACATAGTGTAGTAACTCCCTCACAGATGGCGTTATGAGGGGCATCACGTGGAGTACTAGTTCCCTCACAGGTGGTGTTATGAGGGACTTGACATGGTGTAGTAATTCCCTCACAGATGGTGTTGCGAGGGGCTTGATGATGTAGTAGTTACCTCACAGATGGTGTATGAGGGGCCTGTTGATGTAGTAATTCCCTCACAGATAGTGTTATGAGGGGCCTGATGTGGTGTAGTAATTCCCTCATAGATGGTGTATGAGGGGCCTGATGTGGTGTAGTAATTCCCTCACAGATGGTGTTATGAGGGGCATCACGTGGTGTAGTAATTCCCTCACAGATGGTGTTATGAGGAACTTCACATGATGCTGTAGCAAATCATTCACTATGTGGTGTCGTAGCATCATGGGGACACCACGTGGTCAGTTGTCACAGTACTTCACTCACTCAAGTGGGTGAGGTGTGGTCCCAGGCTTCTCTATTGTGGAGTCTCAGGGGAATTATCACTGGGTACCTGGGACCTCACTGTGTGTGTGTGTGTGTGTGTGTGTGTGTGTGCGTGCTACTTGGCATGAACTAGCTGGTAAAAATATCTTTGGGAAATATAAATACTTAAGCACTAGCAGTAATAGTCAAGTTTTTATTACTGTTTTAGTACTTTTTGTACTAAAACCAAAGACACATACTGGCAGTAATAGTAAATTTGTTACTACTGTTTTAGTACCTTATGCACTAAAACCAAAGACATGTGTATTTTTTTGGGGCCTTGCTAAAGGAGGGTGTACAGTTTTACCAAGTAAGTCCATCTGTAAAAAATCTTGTTAATGTAACTAACCTTACAGTTTCGATTAAGTTGACTTCAAATTTAGGAAACCTATTATCATCATGTACAGATGTGCATATTGTCTGGGTGTTACTATTCAGTGTATGTCAAGTTGATAGCTCAAGGTCAAAGTTCAGAACTTTGGCTAGATCATAACTTGTATCCGTACTTATATTTTAATAAGACTTTGAAAAATTGTGTCATCACTAGATATACAGCTGTTACCAAATTGTCACTGAATTAAAGGTCACAGTCTCAGGAAAGTAAAAGGTCAAATATTTGTCTGGATTCTCTTGTGTAACTGAAGATATTTTGAAGAAAATTTGTCAAAATGCAGAGTGGCAGATTCACATGACTGTATTAGATGTTAGGCTCACTGCTGATGAGTTAAAGTTCTAAACATTATTCAGGTAAGTACTCCAATTCATTGCAGTTATGTTGATGAAACTTTGTGTATCATCACTTACTGGTAGTAACATATAGAACATCAAATTAAAGTCCGACACAAGTCAAGTTATTTTTGTATAGAGAACAAACTTAATTTACTAGAGATAATTTGATTAAATTTAGCGGATGCAGTATGTATCATCTCTAGACACTGTAGAAACCCCCAAATTTTAAAGGGAAGTGTTATAGTTGACAGTTAAAGCCTTGTCCAGCCTTGAGAATTTGTCATCAACATACAGTGGGGTATGCTATAACGAATCTAATTGATTCTAGAACCTTGTTCGTTATAGCATTCGTTCGTTATAGGATTAATCCGTTCCAGGCCCCCAAATACAACCACTTAACACTGAAAAATATAATATAAAATTGTAAAAATTGTAAAAAAGTGCATAAATATGCATCTAAACCCCTGAAATGAAGAATATCATTAATACTTGTAATAAAACACAATAAATTAGTAAAAAAAAAAAAAAATTTAAATAATGTTCGTTGTAGGAGTTTCGTTCGTTATAGCATTCTCAATTTTATAGGTAAAACCATTCGTTATAGGAATATTCGTAGTAGGATCCGTTCGTTATAGCATACCCCAAGCAGAATATTAAATTCATGTTTTTTGTCAGAGTATGGTAAATTAGCAGTTCAGCAGGAGTGTTGTTGTCAAAAAGAGAATTTTGTTATTTACTGTACAGGTACTTCGTTAACCTACTGTGGCTCAGGGTTGGTGGAGTGGAGGACAACATGCATTTCCTTAACTTGTCCATTTCCCACCTTTTTTTTCCTTTTGCAATAGATACTACCGTATATATTGGCATTCAAGATGACCTTTGAAGCATAAAAAAATTCTAGCAAAGCTATGGGTCATCTTATACACAGAGTATAAAATGTGAACCTTATATCATATTATACCATATTTCCTGACATATTATGCACACTGCCATGAAAGACACACCCACAACTAAGCAGAATATTTAGAAAAAAATATTGGTAAACTAAAATGTTATATTTTTTTGTGGAAAATTCTGAATAATGATATATATTACAATTTGAAGATTGATGTTTCAATGATGTAATCTCAGCTATAGTTAGTGTTTGAATGAGTACAAAACAGATGCTATTGATATGAACACAAGGTTTACATGTTATCATTTTATCTTATAATTTGTGATTTTGAAACTATAACCTCCTGAAACCCTGATTAATATATATTAAAATGTCCAGTTCCATGTAATTGTTCCTCACACAAGCAATTTGTGCTGCAGGACACATTCCTCCTGTTAATAACTTATTCATCCCTAACAAGCTTCCTGTCTTGATTTTTTGCACTACCTGTTTAATACAGGATAAGTTGGGGGAAGCTTTAATCCAAAAGAGTTTGACTATGTACCAGAGTTTTATGAACTGAGTGTAACATATTCAAGAATCATTTTCAATATTAATTCAGTTGTGATCTCAGCTTTATTACTTCCTTCATGATCAACAGGGGTCAAACCTGAGGTAACTTTTTAAATCCTTAGGGTCATCGAGGAGGATTTAGCAGGGTTTTATTCTTACATTTGTCCTTTAGAGTGTAGTATTCATTATACCCTGACCATTCTAACAGCTCTTACAGCTGTATTTATGGAAACTATGCATTGCCAGTGAGGAAAAATGGCCAAGATCTTATTTAATAAGATACTTATGAATTTATTTATTTTATTTTATTGAGAAGAAGCAATATGGAAAACATCTTTTGAATGTGAAACATCTTACTGTCCTTCTTACCATCAATCTCCATATGTATCAGCTCTCTCTGCCACACAGTTGTCTTTAAGATTTTTCACAACAGATCATTTTATGGAAATACCAGAAGCTCTTGAAATTTGACTACTCCCAGGATAATTAAATAAATTTCTTTCACCCTTATGAATTCAAGTTTTAGAAACATATTTGGTGATAATCTGGAAAAAAGAATTACATATCCATTTCAGTCTGCACCATTCTTATTGTAAAAAATTAACATTTCCCAGCACTGCAGGCAAAGAATAAAGCATATGTATAAAGCACTTATTTTTCTATTTTTAGGGTGGAGTTCCAGTCTAAATTCTATAAAGGAGAAGGATATGCCTTTGCACCACTCACTTTCAAGCATATTATCAGTGGAGAGGAAGAAGAATAAGTGGTTATTGGGCATAGTTGAAGTGGAATAGGCTCAATCCTCTATTAATGATTGAATATTTAGTCATAACATGGGAACTTGACAAATTTAATTTCATTTAATCAAAACTAGCATGTAAATTTTTCCCTCTGACATAACTAGTATTCCTTGAACCATATAATTATAGAATTAAAATGTGGTTTTTTTTCTTGCTGAAGTTCTTTTACAATATATTTTGATCAATATGTTCACTTTATTGACTTTTTACATTTTTAACTGAAAGAATATGTAACTTGGCCTCAGATATATTTAATTTTTAATGTTTTTATCCACTGGGAACTTTTATTGGGAATTTTTTTGTAAAGATATACTGTAGCACTTGCATGGAATATTATAATTGTATATGTATCCCAGTGTAAACATATCTGTAGTTTCTCTTAACTATTAGTCACCAATATTGTCACAATAGAATTTTGTTGTGGTTTGGTTGTTAGTGTGGTCAGATGAGTGGTTTAGAGCCTCTTGTAGTAATACCCTGTACAATTCAAAAGACTCTAAACTAGTTACCTGGCCACTTTTATACTGGGGTTGCTGGTCTTCATTAAGCCACTGTTTATTTTTTGAAAGGTATTGTACCATAAAGTATTTGGAATTGTAATAAAAAATTTAATTCTTGCTACAATTGACATTGGCTCCACAATTTTGCATTTGTAAATAAAATAAATTTTAAGACTGTATTTGTTTTGTAACCTAATTCAGAAAATTCAAAATGGATTGTGTATACTGTACTCTATAGGGTATATTAACTTACTATGTATATCTCATTGACGATAACACTTTATTTCACTCTTGTCCTAGGGGAGGCGGTGCCCCAAAACAATGGATAGTGGTGTCATACATATTGCATTCTTCAAGTAATCTCTTACTTAACTGTGATTGGTGGAATAAGAGGTAACGTCATCAAATTACAGCCAATAGGAACACAGAGCAGTCAATTAGCACAACACCCCAACTTATGTTTTGCTGTTGGATATTTATTCTCCATTTCATTGTTCAGGTTGCGATAATATTGAAAATGCGATGGGCGGGTCATATCTCCCAGAATTTAAATAGTGAAACGCCAATAAATATCCAACAGCAAAGCATAAGTTGGGGTGTTGTGCTCACTGAGTGCACTGTTCTTCTATTGACTGTAATTTGATGACATTACACCTTGCTCCACCAATCACAGTTAAGTAAGGGATTACTGGACGAATGCAAAATGTACTACAAAACTATGAATTTTTGGGGGCGATTCCGCATGTGGAAGGGCGCCTGGGGGCGCCGTAGCCCCTGACAGAGACCCTGCCGACCCTGGAAAGGCACCCACTGCCAATAGCAGGGCCCATAGCAGCGCTGCCGATCCTAGGAGGGCCCATAGGGGCACGGCAGCCCCTGGCAGGTATCAGTGGCCCAAGGAACCCTGGAGACACCACTGAAGGCCCCCACCTGTAGTAGAGTTCCCCCTGGGGATGTCGCCATCCCTATGAACATCCCTAGGGGCTTCCCTGCCCTGTAAGGGACCCTGATCGACGCTTATCCCTGTGAGGTCACTTGGCCATGCTAGGATGGAGGCGCCCCAGGCTCCTCTACTCCGCCGATACACTCCAGGGGACCTGGTCAGGGTGCTAGATCCACCAGGCTCTGACCCACACTCTTAGAGACAACTACAATCCTAGGGCTTTGTCAGGAAGGTGGCATTCTCAGGCCTCCAGAAACAGCCGAAGCCTGTAGCCTTCAGGACGGCAAACGCCCTAGGACCTCACAACCGAGTCGCCCCCATGGGCTTGGAGGACTAGGGTCCTTACAGGACAAGCTGCACCCAGAGTTTTTCCAGGGACCGGAGGCGCCCCCAGGTATGTTCCTAGGGACCATGGTGCTCCCAGAGGCCCTCCCAGATGACCCTGCCAGCGTAGGCACCTCCAGCCCTGAGCCCCCTTAGGCCTTAATGGGACGCCTCTGCCCAGGACCCCTGCCAAGGCCTGTGGCTCACAATAGGTCCTCTAGGCAACCAGCAAAACAATGGATAGTGGAGATATATATATTGCATTCTTCCATCTTATTTTAACTGTGATTGGTGGAATAAGAGGTACGTCATCAAATTGCAGCCAATAGGAAAACAGAGAATACTCAGCATAATACACCCCAAAACTTATGTTTTGTTGTTGGATACTATCTCCTTTCATTGTTCAACGCCGAAAAAACCAGAACGCATATGGGCCGGTCATATTCCCAGAATTTAAATAGTGAACGAGAATAAATCCAACAGCAAAGCATACGGGTATTGTGCTGACTGAGTGCACTGTTCCTCCTATGGCTGTAATTTGATGACGCTACACCTTACTCCACCAATCACAGTCAAGCACGGATTACTGACTCAATGCAAATGTGACTACAAACACGAAATTTTTGCTGATGTCAAGATATGGAAGGGGCCCCTGGGTCGTGCCAGGCCTAGCAGAGACCCTACAGCCCCTGAAAGGCACCTGCCAATGGGCCCACAGCGAGCCGCTAACCCTAGGAGGGCCCATAGGGCGCCGACAGACCCCGGCAGGGTAATTAGGGCAGTGGCATCCCAAAGAGGTACCATGAGGGAGACACCACCTCTGAAGGCTCCTGAAGGTGCCACCGCCATGTAGAGCCCCTGGGATGTCGCCATCCCTGGGAACACCCTGAAGGGCTTCCAGCCCTGGAGGGACCCTGGGATCGACGCAATCCCCGTGAGGTCACACGCCAAGGGATGGAGGCTCCAAGGCCCTCAGGGTCGGCGATGCCCCAAGCGGACCTTCAACAGGGGATCCACCAGGGCCTGATCCAACAGGGACGCTCTAAGAAACGACAACTAAAGCTTCGTCAGGAAGGCGGCTCCATGTGCCTCCAGCATCCATAGCCTCAGGAACGCACGCCCCAGGACCCACAGATCCGAGGCCCGCTGGCGACTCCAGGGGCCCCCACAGGACAGCGTCACCCCAAGAGTTTTCCAGACCCATGCCCCAGCACCCAGACCATGGCCCCAGAGGCCATCCCAGAGAGACCAAGCCAGCGCGTGGCACCCAGGGCCCCAGGCGTGTGCTTCCTCAGGCCTTAACAGCCTGCTCCCAAGTAACAGCCTGTGTCTCAACAGAATCCCTCCTAGGGAGGCACACCCTAAAAATAATAAGCATAAAGAGTCACATAATATTAACACTGATTTAATAAAGAGCAGAACGCCACCAAATTATAGCCACCAGGAAAAACATAGCACTCACCACAACAACACCCCAACTTTATTTTGCTGTTGGATATTTACTCCTTTTCCATTGTTCAGGCTGAGATAATACTAGCATGGCGGCAACATTCCCAGAATGTCGAAACAGAACAAACCAACAGCAAAAGCATAAGTTAGCATTGTGCTGACTGAGTGCACCGTTCTCCCATCTGGCTGTAATTTGATAGACGCTACACCTTACTTCCACCAATCACAGTCAAGAAGCGATTGACTCAATGCAAAATGTACTACAAAATACGAAACCCTTTGAGTGATGCCGCATATGGAAGGGCCCCTGGGCGCCAAAGGCCCCCTGGCAGAGACCCCTGCTGCCCTGAAAAGGCACCACCGCCAAAGCAGGCCCATAGCAGCAACAGACCCCAAAAGCCCATAGGGCTGGCAGCCCCTAGCAGTTATTCTGCAGTAGCGCCCAAAGAGGGCCTCCGGGGAGACACCACCCTCCAGGCACCCTGGGAGCACACCACCCCCGAAGGGCCCCTGAAGGTGCCACCGCTGTAGAGCCCCAGATGTCGCCATCCTCGTGAAAACCCCAGGCTTCAGCCCCCGTAAAGGACCCCTCGGATCGACGTTATCCCCAGAGGGTCACTTGGCCATGCCAGAGATGGAGGCGCGCCCCAGGCCCCTCTCAGGCGACGGCGATGACCCCAGGGGACAAGTCAGGGTGCTAGATCCACCAGGCTCTGATCCACGAAGTATGCCTTGTGTACGTTTACAACCTAGGCTTTGTCAGGAAGGCAGCATTTCCAGGGGCCCTCCAGCCAGCCGAGTTTCCATGGGCCTCTCAGGGACGGCAATCGCTCTAGGGATCCTCATTAGAATCCGAGGTGCCTCATGCAGTTCTGCCAGGCGCTGGCGACTCCGAGGCCCCGCAGACAGCCGCATCCCGCAGCTTCCAGGGACGGAGGGTGCCTCCAGCGCCTGGATCTGGCGAAGATTCTCCTATGACCTGCGCCAGTGGCGGCACCTTCAGGCCCTCTAGAGGCGCAGGTGGCTCCCCAGCTTAGCCAGCGCCTTCGCCCTGCTGACCGTGCCGCCTGCGGCTCACAATAGTCCTCCTAGAGTATGACGCCCCAAAACAATGGGTGATAGGAAATATATATATTAGATTCTTCCAGTAATCTTTACTTTGTGACAGCAATAGGTAATGTCAATATCAGGAAAACAGAAGAAATACCATACGCAAACACCTCAACTTATGCTTTGCTGCCTGATATTTATTCTCCTTTCATCGTCAGGCCGCCAATACCGAAAATGGCGGCTGGTCCATTTCCGAATCTAAATGAGAAACAGAATAAATCCAACAGCAAAGCATGTTAGCATTATGCTGACCGAAGCGTACTGTTCTCCTATTGGCGTAATTTTACGACGCTACACCTTACCCACCAACCCAGCCAGTAACGATTACTTACGACGCAAAATACAAAAACTATGAAATTTTGAGTTTATGCCGCATATGAGTGCCCTCTGGGGTACCGTTGCCCTGGCAGGAGACCTCCCGGAAAGCGCACCCACTGCCAATAGCAGGGCTCCATAGGCAGCGCCGCCGTAATTCTAGGAGGGCTCACAGGGGCCGGCTGGTCCTGCAGCAGGAATTTGCAGGCAGCAGCATCCCAAAGAGGGGCACCACATGAGGAGACACCACTCAGGCAGCCCCGAAGGTGCCACCGCTGTAGAGCCCCTGGGGATGTTGCCATCCTCGGGTGGAATTTCTGAAGGGGCTTTTCTGTCCCTGTAAGGGACCCTGGACGATTGCGTTGGTCCCCAGGAGGTCACTTCTGGCCATGCTAGGATGGAGGCAGCCTCAGGCCCTCTCAGGTTTGGCGATACCTAGGGGACTCCGTCAGGGGTGCTAGATCCACCTGTGCTGGGATCCACGAAGGACGCCTAGACAGCCATAATCCCAGGGCTTTGGCCGTAGCCGCGGCATTCTCAGGCTCCTCCAGAACAGCCGAGCCCATGGGCCTCTCAGACGGCAATCGCTCCCAGCACCTCACAGATCCGAGGCGCCCCCATGGGTCCTGCTAGGGTGCTGGCTGACCCGACGGCCCCGCACAGCTGTGACCCCAAGAGTTTTCCAGGACGAGTTTTCCAGGCAATGCCTTAGGACCATGGTGCTCCGCGCAGAGGACTCAGCAGCATGGCGCCTTCAGGAGCCCTTCCAGAGGCTGTGGCTCCCCAGGCCTTCTTATACTATTTGTTCCCAGGACTCCCAAGCAAGCAGCCTGTGGCCTGGCCAGGCCCTTCCTAGGGGAGGGCACGCCTCTAAAAACAATGGATGGTGTCAAAGATATAATCCGTGATTGGTGAGGTAACGTGTCATCAATTATAGCTATTAGAGGTAACAGAAAGACACCGTACAACACCAACTTAGGTATGTTCTTGCTGTTGATGGTTTCATTCTTCCATTGTCTGTTTACAATACTGAA